GGCTGGCATGTGGTGCTGGGGGATTGAACCGTGGTCCCTGGGCTTTGCTAAGCTTGTTCTAAGTAGGTGCTTTAGACCACTGAGCCATCTCACCAGCCCAAGATCCGAAATTCTGACTAGTTAAGTAGTTCATTTATGGTTGTTAAAGCTGAATCTTACTAGGTATAAGAGCTACCAGATGCATATAAGAATTCACTTAATTCAAATTTACTACTACTGCATTGCAACCAATTGGAACAGCTCAAGTATCAGTGGTTTGAACTTCAGATACAGTAAACATTATGGATAGTGTGAGAAGTCCCTTTAGAATTCATTGGGAACTTTTTTTTATTAGTACAGTTTATTCCTGATCTTCCCTTTACCTTCAGCGTTCATTATTTTAGGATTATACTTGAGAGAGACGATATTAAAATATTCTTAACAGTTACTGGTTTTTAGAGGCTACTTACATAATGTAAAGTATAACCTAAGATAATTTAATACTCTCTGTATTATATTTCAGGAATTCTAACGAATCACTGATTGACCAGCACCATTTTACCACTTGGAATGAGATATCAGAAATGGGCATAGTGCTTTTAGATCCAACATGTAATGGATGTCATTCCGTGCTGATTACGTCTTCAAGTCAACACGCTTTTGATTGTGCAGGATCTTTATTTTTCCATCTTTGAATTTGGATTGCTGGCAGACAAAAGGAGTTGATGTATTTTTTTCTAAATCCAAGTTTGAGTCACCATGAGTACTAGTTTAGGTAAAGAAAAAGACTCTAAAGAGAAAGATCCCAAAGTACCGTCAGCCAAGGAAAGAGAAAAGGAGGCAAAAGCCTCTGGAGGTTTTGGGAAAGAAAGCAAAGAAAAAGAACCTAAAACCAAAGGGAAAGATGCCAAAGATGGAAAGAAGGATTCCAGTGCTGTGCAACCAGGCGTCGCTTTTTCAGTTGATAACACCATCAAACGGCCAAATCCAGCCCCTGGAAATAGGAAAAAAGCTAGTAATACAGAAGTAAATAAGGAGCTCAATAAATGCCGGGAAGAGAATTCAATGCGTTTGGACTTATCCAAGAGATCTATACACATATTGCCATCATCAATCAAAGAGTTGACTCAATTAACAGAACTTTATTTATACAGTAACAAATTACAGTCCCTCCCAGCAGAGGTGGGCTGCTTAGTAAATCTCATGACACTGGCTCTCAGTGAAAATTCACTTACCAGTTTGCCTGACTCTCTTGATAACTTGAAGAAGCTTCGGATGCTTGATTTACGGCATAATAAACTGAGAGAAATTCCTTCAGTGGTGTATAGGCTAGATTCTCTTACCACTCTCTACCTTCGCTTTAATCGTATAACTACTGTGGAAAAGGACATCAAAAACCTGTCAAAACTCAGCATGCTTAGCATTCGAGAGAACAAAATCAAACAACTACCTGCTGAAATTGGTAAGAGGACTTGGACTACCTGTTATCATTACTATTTTTAATATTTGTTTTGCAAAAATGACTTCATTGGGCACTTTTCCATATTAGATAATTCCTGATACTTACTTGAACAGCTAGTTTCTAAATTTGGTCTAATTCACATTACATGAATTGAGATTAGACTTAAGACCTGAGTTAGAAAATAGATGTATTTAGACCTTTATTACACAAACATAATCTCCTTAAACTTCATTAATGAAAAAGATGAATTTGAAAGATCTTTGCCCTACTTTTAAGGTATTGCCATCTTTTTGTTTCATGGTACTTGCAAAATCCAGAGCCTTGCACTGAACTGTATCCCCTACCCTTTCTAAATTTTCTATTTTGAGACAGTGTAAGTCACTAAATTGCTGAGGCTGAGTTTAAACTTTTCACCCTCTTGCCTTGGTCTTCCAGGTCCTGGGATTACAGGTATGTGCCACCACACCTGCCTGTTGCTATACTAAAACTCCATTTTTGTGTTCTCTGATTTTTCCTTTATCTTTTAAATTCGTATCACTAATATGCCACAAAAGATTTTCATACTAGATCTTTGTGAAAGAGCAGGGTCAGGAAAATAGAAAACAACCTTTGTTTTTGTACATTCATTAAAAATAATATAGCAGCTCAGCATGATGGTGAGTCCCTGTAACCCCAGCTAATTGGGAGGCTATGAGGGTAGGAGGATCCCATGGGCCCAGAATTTAAAGTAATGCCTAGGCAACTTGAATCCTGTGTGAGGACCAAAAGCCAGACTATACAGGAATGGTAGAAGGAAACTTACGGTAAATGCCATCCTTTAACATTTTAATAGACTTCATTCCAGTCTTTTGTATAAAGCTGAATTATACTGAAAGAAAGGAAACTTTTTAAAAGGCTGATTAGGGCAGAAAAAGAATGTAGATATGTAAATAAGGTAAAAGTAATTCTTGGTATATTTCTTATACAAAAAGGTTCTGAACCATTTGGAATGTAATAATTCATTGGCATAAATTTAAAAATTGATAAAGGTATTGTGTTTGTGGCCCATTTGTAAACTTTTTAAAAATACAGATTTTTGAAAGTTTAAGGCAAGTTGTTTTTTTTGTTAGGTGGAATTTGCTTTGTTTTGAATAAGATATATTAAATATATTGTAAATTTTAAGCGGGTAGTTTAAAAAAAAAAAAAAGCCTTTCTGGGGCTGGGAATATAGTTTAGCAGCACAGTGCCTGCCTGGCAAGTGCAAAAGCATTTGGAGATTTTCCAGGATATAATATTCTGTGAATATTTGAAATTGTTTGGCTTCATAATATGCAGTTTAAACCTTAGGTATGATATTTTGTTATGTTTAACTCTAGACACAAAAATGCTAACTTTAGTGTAATTAAATATGTTTAGAAAATCCACTATAGAGTTTTTTCAAATAATGTATATATGCAAAATAGGACTTATGAAATATTAAAATAGTCCTAGGAATTTTTTGGTGCAAATGCCATATTCAATGTCATTTAAGAATATGGTCATTATATGAAGTTAGTACTAGATTCAATCAAAATACAACCTTCATATATGGAATGTTGTATAATGAATGAAATATAGGTGGCTTGAAAAAGATACTGGCTTTCTATATAGAAATAGAAAATGCCTGTATTTATTCTTATTATGTTATGATACACTTAGTGTGTCTGTTTAAGGATTTGGTTTCATAGCATATCAAATGTCTGTCCTTGCCTATCTTTTTCTTTCCTTTTTTTTTTTTCTTTTCATGTGGGGGATTGAACCCAGAACCTCCAGTGCTAGGCAAGTGCTCCATCACTGAGCTGCGTTCTCAGCCCTTTTAATTTTATTTTGAATCATGGTATCAGTAAATTCCCCATGCTAGTCTTAAAACTTGTGATTCTTGACTGCATTGGCCTGTAGAGCAGCTGGACTATATGTTTCTTAAGAGAGGAATTATTGGGGGTTGTAAATTTATCCTCAGTTTGTTCTTGCATATATCTGTGCAGCATTTATACTGGAAGTGAAGATATTTTTTGGGGGCGTATTTTGTAATCAAATGGCCTGTTATTTGTGACTACCTAATCGTTTGACCTTTATTCCTAAATTTGTAAAATTTTTTTGTAACGTTGAAATGGTCGTTTAATTTGTTAATGAGCCCCTTCTACTATTAGTGACACTCCTAAGATTTATATTCTTCTAATTGCTATTTTCCTATAAAAATGATTACAACATAAATTTGTTTCAACTAAGGTATCAGAGAACAAACTGTTCTTAAAAATATAATTTAGGGGGCTGGTGAGATGGCTCAGTGGTCTAAAGCACCTACTTAGAACAAGCTAAGCTAAGCAAAAGCACAGCGACCGCATCCCCAGCACCACATGCCAGCCAGCCCCACCCCCTGGTGGGCTGAGCTGGCCACACACACACGCACACACACACAGTAAATAAATAAATTTAAAAAAAATTTATAAAAAAATTTAGTATTTATTAGGGGTTCTAATTTATAAGGTTTGATTTAGATGCATGAATTTAAGTCAGACATGCAGAAGTCTGAATTATCCATTTCCTTATAATGAAAAAGAAAACAAAAATAACATAATTGAGTACAATGTCACATACTGTGTATTGATCTGTATGTGTATATTAATCTGTTTTCTGTTATTAGAATAAAATATACAAAACAGTAAATTAAAGAAGTTTAGCAATTAGAATTTTATAACATTTTTATCATCTTGAAAAGAAAATCTGTACCTTTAATAGTTCTTGCATTTTCCCCCAACTCTAGCCTAAGCCAACTATTATTCTCATTTTTTTCTCTATAGAATGTCATATTCTGTTCATTTCATATAAGTAGAATCAGATAGTATCAGGTCTTTTGTGACTGGTTTCTTTCACAGAACATATTTGTGAGGCTCATTCCATTCTCTGCCAGTACTTAGTTTCTTTTTATTGTTGAGTAATATTCCATTGCATGAAGATGCCTCCTTTATCAATGGTTGGGCATCATGGGTTATTTTTACTTTACTATTATGAATGCAGTTAATATACACTTGCGTACAAGTTTTTGTGTACATTTGTCTTCATTTCTCATGGGTAGATTAGATACCTAATAGTAAAACTGCTGAATTATAAAACTATGTAGTCTTCTGAATAACTACTAGACTGTTTTCCTAAGTGGTTGCATCATTTGAATTCCTGCTAGCACTGTATGAAGGTTCCATTTCATCTGTGTCTTCAACACCTTTTATTTTTTATAAGAGCCACTATAAATACAAATTGATCTCATTTTGAGTTTTGGTTCCCTGAAGAGTATAGATTTTTTTAATTTTTGAAAGCATATGTTTTATTACAAAGAAAAATCAGAAATAGTTTTCTGTGATGTAGATCTTTGATGGTTTAAGTTATAAATAACATCTGGGAGTAGGCTTGTAGCTCAGTGATAAAAGCATGAGCATAAAGTGTGACTGAGACTGTGGGTTCATGAAAACACTACAGCATTAAAACCATAAATAAAGTAGAATAGCCTGAGTGCCTTTGAGAATGTTTTTATTTGTGGTGTGGGGGATTGACCCCCGTGGCCTTCTTAAATACTAGACAGGTGTTCTACCACTGAGCATATCCCCAGGTCAGTTTTAAGAATGTTTATAGAATAGAAAACTTTGCATAGCTATCAAGTATATGGAAATTTGACATTTTATTAAGCCTTTTAGTATAATTTGACATATGATTGAAATCTATAACAAGAGAATTTTTCATTCAAAATATTTGGTAATTGTGATATACTTGTGAGATATGTATTATACATTACAGATGTTTACTAGCTTTATAAATTATGCACTATTAGATGCTTACTGTTTTGTTGCTGAATGAGTCTACTAATTAAGATGATCCAGTTTGCATTTAGTAGTATAGTTGGATATAAGACATTGTCTTTGTAACTTCCCACTTACTTCAATAAATTTAATTGGAATTGAGCCATTATATAAGGTTATGCTATCCTGAGGCTTTAATAGGAAATATATTAAAACTAACTTATTTATTCATTTAAGCTTTAATGACATCATAATATGATGTGATTTGGTACCCGTAATGCATTCACATGGGTAAAGACAATTTTCTAATTGTGGAATGATACATAACAGACAGCTCAGAATCAGTGATAATAAGTCAAAAAGTAACCTGAAAAATTCTTATTTGGTAAGGCTCATTTATTTTTCTTTTTTTATGTAATAAGCCATGAAGTAAGCCTCCTTTTGTGTGTTTAGACAAATTGGATAGCATAGTCCATTGCTTTCTTACTGCCATGCATCCTTTTTCTATTTTTATTCTTGAAACAGAGTTTTGACTCAAAAGACTGTAAAGAAACCGTGTTTTTAGAGGTCAAATCGAACCAGTTACTTTTGTTCCTTTCCCATTGATTGGTTCCTTTGAATTTCCTGCTAAAGATCTTGCTCTTTTGTGTATTTTTAAATTTTAGGTGGATTAAAGTCGTGGCATTTGGTTAGTTGATCTGAATAATCAAAATCAGTTTAGGAACCCCTGGACAACAAATTTTAAAGGATCTTATTTTTCTGGGAAGAAAATGGTTATACTTTAAAACCAGAAATAAACTTCTTAGTCTCTTACTATTACTTTTTTTTTTTTTCCTAAGCCCTCATTGAACATGGGCTAATTTAGTATATTTTTTTAAGTTTCCTTGTTTTATTTATAAAAACAGCTAAGGTAGAGAAAGCATTTTAAAAATCTATTCTTTATGCTGTGTGTTCAATAAAATGCTACATTTCTATACAGTGTACAATTCCATGTGGATCTCATTGTCAGAATAACTTTTCTTAGGAGAATGATCTAGCTGTTAAAATACATAGGCTTAGGAGCCAGGGAGATGGCTCAGTGGAATATGCACTTCCTTGGCAAGCGCAAGGGTCTGAGTTCAATCCCCGGTTCCACCAAAAAAAAAAAAAAAAGGCTTTATGAGAGTCTGAATCATTTTCCCTCATTTAAA